ACATAGAGGGAACAACTCGTGGACTATTTATCTAGTAGTTTTATAGTAAAAGAATTTTTGATGTCGTAAACGATACTTCACCCTTGCAACTTTGCCACAAAATTGAAACTTAACCATTTTTGGTGCAAATCTGTCTGTGGCAATCATTAAATCGCATGAAGTCGGCTCTSTCCAACTTAACATTGTGCTATATTTAAAAAACAATAAACGGGAGAAAAGTGTGCCGTGCCACATGCAACATTTATACGATTACAATTGATGAATGTCTGATTACGAATTCGCAGGCGGGTGAAAGTGCGACCCTTTAAACGTCGGCGGTTCGTATGGGAAGGAAATCCACCRTATGCAGTGCACTGCCTGCAGCCAACCAGCAGACTGTGGCAAGCGAAGGAACGGTCTCTAATCAGCCAACAAGTGTGCACCACAACCGTTTGAATTGGGCAAACAGATGGAGAGACAGGGGCAGACGTCGACACTGACGCGATAGCCCACTTGAGTAAACGGTAGTGATAATAAAAAAAAATGGTCATAAAGAAGCAACAACAATCTAGCAGGTAAACAAATACAACACTGTGGGTTTTTCGTGCAAGTTTGTATATTACGATGAGCGCGTTGTGGTACTTTCGTCAGTCCCACGAGGGCGATTCGACRRAGGTAAGCACCACGAGTGCGAACACTGCGCAGTGAGGGCAAACAGCTGCCAGCCGTCTGCTTTCTGCCACCGCCAGTTCGAACTAATTTGTGACAATGACTAAAAAAGAAATGAAACGAAGTATGAGAACAGCAACTGCTACGGAAGACGGCGATGAGAAGTTAAGAGCCAACAGCAAATAATCAGCCAAAACAACCGCAACGATACATAATTGAACGACAGAACGTCGAAAGGGTCGGGCCATACACCCGGCAATGCTGCAACTGTCGGCCAACACATTTCACAGCCAAAGGGAAGGGTCGGCGTGGGGCAGCCACGAAGTTCGTACCTAATATAATGGGATTGTAAATAATTGCGGAAGTTCATTTGAGGTCCGCGCTGCTGCTGCGATCGGGTGATTTGCGGCACACAACCTATGTTCGAGCCGAAAGCCAATTGGTATTTGCGGCATGTGTGTATGCCCTCCCCTCTGCTTATCACTTTATTTTGACTCTAATGTGCTAGAGGCTCGGTGCGTATCAGATGTTTGTGTAGATTTGTGTGTATGCGTATGCGTGTACAAATTAATTTCGTTACGTTTCGTGCTTATCGCAAGTGTTCTTGTAATTGTTGATTTAGTACGTTCCGACTATTTCAAACATTTTACTTTTTTTTTACATTTTTTGATGACACACATATACCCTTTCCGCAGGCATAGCAGAGTAAAACCGTCAAAGAAAAGTTCTCTCACACAGTGACGTTGAAATTGAGGTTGAAAAGTAGATTGGCGGCGAGGCAAGTACTTACATACATTCATACGATGTATGTGTGGCTGTGTATATCGGATACTCTTGGCACTGTTATTCCGTCGATTTTGACGTTCACTGATGCCATGTGACAAATAGCTTTGACGTGCATTAAAAATGCCGATGGGCAGAATACCGTTAGGCACACATTCACACCGCAAAACGGTGGAAAGCCAGACAGACGCTRCTAATGACAATTGTATATGACAAGGTTCCACCTATTGCTACACTCATTTTGACAATTCTGTACGGACACCAAACGGAACAAAATGCCGCGTTTCAATAGTGGCATACGAAAATGCAATGTCACGTAACCAAATGTGTCATGCACAGGTATGAATGCTCGTTTACAAATGTTTCGTAATTAATTTTATTCGGATACTTAGTCTCTTGAACCATACTTCGTATTTTTCACAAATTGCATAAAAACAAAAAAAAAAAAAACTAAAAATTTTAACTTTGGTTGCACCGAAGAAATGTATAATACCCATCATAAGCAGATCTTTGACTTGATTTTGATCAGTTTGCACAACAGCTATTTGCTATAGTATTCCGGTCCGAACAATTTCTTCGCAGATTTTGTCGATGCGTTGGATAATAATAATCAGTGATTCCAACAAATGTTCAGTTTCTTGATGAGAATAGCAAGTTTGAGAAATTTCTAATCAATGTCTCATAAACTGAGATACTAGTTTGCATATATATCAATATGATTTGCTTAAATGAGTGAAGCATTCACCCACTCTACCCGGAGAAACTGGCGTCTCCTAAGAAAACATTGCACAATACACCACATCCGATGACACCAACACAACTCATCACATTTCTACATCAACCTACTCAACATAAAAGATGGTCCCCTGAGCAGGTTCAACACATTCGTTTTATATACATACGTTTTGCGACACCCATTCCGCGCGCTGCTCACTTCGATTACCTTCATGAACCTCCGAAATAAATAAACATTTAACTTTAAGAAAAATAGCTTTTATATAAAGTGAAATATTTTCTTAATAAWCTACCTTGTATATTAAACAAGTGCGTCACACAATTGTTTTTATACTCTCGCAACAAAGTTGCTAAGGAGAGTATTATAGTTTTGTTCAAATAACGGTTGTTTGTAAGTCCTAAAACTAAAAGAGTCAGATATAGGGTTAATTATACCAAAGAGATCATGGTGACGAGTAGAGTTGAAATCCGGATGTCTGTCTGTCCGTCCGTCCGTCCGTGCAAGCTGTAACTTGAGTAAAAATTGAGATATCATGATGAAACTTGGTACACGTATTTCTTGGCTCCATAAGAAAGTTCGAAGATGTGCAAAATCGGCCGACTGCCACGCCCTCAAAAAGGCGGAAACCGAAAACCCATAAAGTGTCATAACTAGGCCATAAATAAAGATATTACAGTGAAATTTGGCACAAGGGATCGCATTAGGGAGGGGCATTACTAACTTTTTTGTACATATCTCGAAAACTACTATAGCTATGTCAACCAAACTGTA